CCGGGTGTCGTTCTATTAGAGGTTTTACGGTAGGTGATTTAATGATAAATGTTTTATTAGTTAACACTTTTTTGATATCTTGCATAGGAACATAGATAATTGAGCTCAAAGGGCTTAGAGCATTTACATTATGTAATCCTTACTTTTATACACCATCCACTCGATGGTCTATTTACGAATTTCCAATCAGCTTCACACCCATTCGCAGTGTTTTCCTCCATTTCAGAATTCAAAAATGTCTTCCATGCTGCTGGGCAATCTGCCAACGTGGAAGAAATACAGAGGGCAAGGAGCAGAATTTGCATGACTACCTGGAATGGGTTACTGTAATTTTTCTACTTCAAAAAATGGTGAAAAATAATGAATTCTGAATGTTCCATACATTTTTAGAAGAATTCTTTCGCTTTTTATTCTTCTCCACCCAATTGGAAGTTGGAAAATTCTCTATGAATTCCAAAATTTAATGTGAGAGATTTCTAACTTCCATTTCTTGATTCTCAACTTTCCCATAAGGACCAAAGAATCTTTTCTTTTTGCAAATATTCTTCTTTTTCTCCTTTGCAAACTGGCCTCCAAATTTCAACAGCCTCGCTCCTCTCTTTTTCATGCATTACTTCACTCCCCGCTCCCCGCCGTCTCCCCCTTTTTCATATGCGCCCTCCACTTCTCATGCCATCGCCGCCCGGTTAGCTCAGTCGGTAGAGCACCAGACTCTTAATCTGGTTGTCGCGGGTTCGAGCCCCGCATTGGGCTTATGTTTTTTGCTTTCTTTACTTCACGATTTCTTTGATTTCTCAAGTTTATGAATGCATTGGAGAAAGAACCCATCACGCGCCTCATTCACAGGTCCTGGGCGCGCATACGCATAATGGATGGGCGACGGAGGACGCGCCGATGAATTGGGTACAGGGAAAGGACGCCGGTATGGGGCATATACGGGGCATATGGGGCACACCGCCGCCGCAAAGCATCTCCTCGCCTGGCTTGCTGGCACTCGATGAAATGAACTAAAACGTTGGTTGGGGGTTCCTAGAAGTATCAGTTAAGTTCTATTGTGATGTGATTTTGTTCAGGTCTTCCGATTTCGTACTTTTCCTTTATTATTCCATATTCTTTTATATTTTGAACGACATATTACTGATTTTTCGGAAGTCAATGTTTTGGTTTTGAAAAAGACTTAGGGCAGTTTCTATTTAAATTTGATATGCAATCAAAAACAGAACAAAATGGGAAAAAAAAATAGCTAAAAATTGTTTTTTTTTTTCATTTGTTCAAAAAATATGTCTCACTTTCACTTTTTTTGAAATTGCATGAAAAATTGAAAATTTTTATAATTTAAACTTTGTAATTATTGTATACTTACCAACTTACCTTTTACTCCACCTGGAAATACGATTTTTACAATAATTACAAAGTGAAATAAAAAATCTCAATATCACTTATTTTGGCGAAAAACATAGCAATTAACGAGTGAAAGACATGTTTCTGCAAGAATTCAGCGATTTTTTATTCTGTCATAACTCTTTTTCACAAAAAAAAACATCGAAGGAATAATCGAAAAACCAGAAATGTAGGCTCGAATTGACGAAAAATTGACAAAGTTGCCGGTGTGGATTTACGGTGCGCGCATCCGGGATTTCGGAGTGTTGTAGTCGGCCTACCGTATCAGACCCAAATCGCACATATCGCCCACCCACCCAGAATTCATCTAGGATACGCGCGCATTCGGAACACTCGATTCAGCCTCTCCCGCATCGCACACATATGAGACTCATCGCAGCTCGTTGTTCGCGATATGTGTCAAACGGACTTCTAGGATCGCATATGGATCGAGTCCTTTATGCGCATCATCGCCCAGGACCTGTGTTGGCTCAGTGGCAGAGCGTCTGTCTAGTAAACAGAAGGTCGCTGGTTCGATTCCAGCATGAGGGACCGAATTTTTTTTAGCAGTCAGTAGAGCTCAGTCGGTACAGCACCAGACTCTTAATCTGGTGTCGCGGGTTCGAGCCCCGCATTGAGCTTATATTTTTTTGCTTTTTTTTCGCGTTATGATTTCTCTGATTTCTCAAAGTTTATAAATGCATTGCAGAACAATCTAATTGTAAGAAAAATTTGTTCGTATTATTTCATTAAACAAAAACTTTTTAAAAAATTCAATTCATTCAAAATCATCATTATGGTTTCTTTCCACAGATGTATGCCTTGATGTCTCTTTCCTTCTTGTCATTTTTGATGAAGTCAAACTCGCAACTAAAATGTTAAGCAATTTCTCTAAATACTGAAAGATTATATCTTACCCAACGTCATCCAAAAGTCCAGTTTGGATTCCATCAACAGATCCCTGAGATGAAACAGTTAGAACACCGCAATGTTGGGAGCGACTGAAATATTTGGGACCATTTTTTATTAGGGACAGGTGACTCACCCTCTAGCATTATCCGGTTGATTACATGCCCATTCAAATCCATCGGTTCCTGTAGCTGATTTATCGGTCCATTGGAAACTGGTAGCCCAGCTACAATCTTCAGTCAATCCAACTGTTTGACAAAAACTTCTTCTTGCCATGCCAACCCAGACGCTTCCAGTTTCAGGATAGATGCGGCGGGTTACAGTAGCTGAAATTGAGAAAATAGGATATTGGAATATACCGTAAAACCTCTAATAGAACGCNACNTGTGCNAATGAACGAAAATCTGGAGCATTTTCTTGTTTAAGAGCAGTTTTCCGGCTTAAACGAGATGTTGGATTCCATATTGCTCAGACCTATATCCCTACTAGTCTCGCTCTTATGTTTTCTTGGGTCGGCGTATGGCTTCCAGAAGAATTCATGGAGGGAAGAACTGGTGTTGCGATCACTGTACTTTTGACTCTCTCTACCGAATCT